CCTCCATTGCCCTCTGCCTCCTCCTCATCTTCGGGCAGAGTTGCAATGGTGTCTTCACCGTCATCAAGGACTACCTCTGCTTCTCCCTCACTGAGTGTGCCTTGGCTTTCAGATTCGGAACTAGCACCATTGACAGCCTTGCTGAGCTCATCCTTATCTGGTGACTGCAGTTCTGGTGTTTCTCCAGTGATCCCTGAGCTATTTTCTGCCTTGTGGTCAGGGCTGTTTTCTTCCTTGCTCTCACCATTCATTTTGCCATTCTCTACCTCTTTCTTTCCTCCTTCACCTTGCTGTGTTAGTCGGGCCCGCCGTTGCAGCTGAGCCTGTACCCTAAGGCAGGCTGGATTATTGCCCCATGTGTACACTTTGTGGTTCTTTGTTACAGCAATCTGGACAAATAAAATGTCATAAGGTGAAAAAAACAAAACTTAAAAAACAGTCCATATTACACAGTACCTCACTGATGCAATTATAAAATCCTGTCTAGTCATCACTTGGTATGGCACCAAAATGAACAAATGACCAACAAACATACATTTTGGAAGTATCCAGCAGCTAGGTGTGTTGCAAGTCCAGGGAGGGGGACTCTCTCTGGCCTTGTCACTTTCATGATTCCACCATTTCCACACTGCCCATATGTTCCACAGCCCCATGCGTACACAGACCCATCTGAGGCCATGGCTACAGTGTGTGCATAACCACCTTGTGCTAGAACAATTTTCTGGAAAAAAAAAAAAAAAAAAAAAAAAAAAAAAAAAAAAAAAGTCGTATTATTTATGGCAGGTTCTCATCATTCCCAACTGAAATGTACATCAAATACATCCACATGTTTCTTAACAATGTAGTAACAGAGACTTTTGTACCTTTTTGGCTAATCTCTCAATGGCAGTGGGCACCTGCACATCCTCCACGCTACTGTGCCCAAGCTGCCCATGGACCCCCCAACCCCATGTGTACAGCCTGAAAAAGAAAAGAGAAGGCTGAAATCATTCCTTCAAAAAAAAAAAAAAAAAAAAAAAAAAAAAAAAAAAAAATCACTAATTAAAGGCAGCCCTATAAAAATAAATATCAAATAAATATTCATACTGCAAGCATCACATAAAACACAATATTATTTACTGTGCACACTCACTTGCCATCCTCACTGACTGCCATCGAGTGGAACTGCCCACAGGCAATATTCACAATGCCCTTCCCCTCAAGACTTGTTAGCAGGGTGGGCCTGGGATAGCGACCTGTACTACCTGTGCCTACCTGACCATACCTGCTATTACCCCAACCATAGACCTGTTAAATAGAAAAAAGGTTTCAGAAGTCACCTACTGTGTGTACAAGAGAAGAGAAAAATTTATAATATAATGTAAAATGTAAATGAGAAAATTATATCAAGAAGTGTTTTCATGGTTATATTACTCCTGATATTCTTTGATTTATGCTTTCACTTTATAAATAAAGAGAGACTTCAACAAAAACATAAATTTTACAATAACATAGAAAGCAAACTCATTATCATTATCTTTCTACTTACCCCATTATCCGTGATGGCTAGCATATGGTTCTTCCCTGCAGCCACACTCAGCACTTTCATCTGGGCAAAGTATGAAACCATCCTCGGCTCGGAGCCATCGGAAACTAAGCTAGTCTGGCCTCTGCCATTCATGAGTGGTGTCAAGGGGCTGGTGCCAGACACAAGGTGGGGGACGGTGCCATTGAGGTTCGGCTGTTGGGGTGGGTTAGCAGGTGAGAAAGGAGTTCCTTTGCCCTTCTTGCAGTGTGTTTTAGCATCATGTAAGTCATGGTGGAAAAGTTCTTACAACTATAAGCTTTAGTAAACTAAAACATCTGATTTCCAATAACTTCCATTACTTTATTCTAATGACATTCAATGCAATATATAGAAAAAGCGGAGTATCCATTCACCACAAAAATAAAACGAACTAACCTCCTGATCTTCTGGGAGAAAGACATTCACACCTGACACAAGCTTAGGGTTTGTGGTGCACCGAGACCCATGGCCCAAAACACCATAGTCTGGCCTGCCCCATGTGTATAGAGCATCACCAATAATCAGTGAAGTGTGACCATATCCACATGCCAACACCTGGTGATGTACTTTATCCACAGGTACTGGCACAATCTGAGGAAGACAGACTGATTATGTGCAAAAGAATAATAATAAGTGCAAGAATCACAAATTTCCAATATCAAACAAGTCATGGTGTGAACAGTGCAGTCCTCACCTCTTTTGGAATCTCCACCTTGTAGGTTAGAAGCTCAGGATTATACATCCAACCTCTTCTTTGGTTTAGATGAATGATGATAGAAAGGAATACCTCAACAAATGCTTCAACTGACACCAGCTCTTCACTACCATATGCAAGCAGGCAAGAGTTGTGGACCATTGATGATAATGGAGGAAATGCCTGTTTTTTACCATTGGTTGTCTGTAAGAATGGCCTTATTGCTGGCTGTGTTGGATTGTATAAGTCAGCCAGACGGCGGAGGACAGGGACCTCGAGTGTAGAAAGCAACCCTAGCACAAGAGCAATGTGTCTTCGTGCCAGTGTTGGACGAGTCAGGAGGACCTGCCGTAGCTCTGGGTCTGAAACACAGTGCAGATAGCCAGCCTCCCTCTCTCGTGCCAGAGGAGAGACGCTGTCAATGCTGGTCTGGCCTCCTAACTGGTCAAGTTCAATTGAGTCTAGAATAGGGGACGCCTGTGATGCCATCAAAAGCTGTAGTTTCTCAAGATAGAGGCCTCGTGAAGCAGCCAGGTACTGCAGGGTCTCCCAGCGCCAGGAGCCAGCAGCCAGAGCGAGTGCCAGCACTTCATCATAGTACTGATTGTCCCTAAGGAAGAGAAGCAAGTTTCTCAAGGCTTGTTGCTGCTGAGGTGGCTTGTGTGAGCCTGGAAGACACAGATGGTGCAAATGACATATGATGGCGAGGTTAGCCAGGTTGCGGCGCTCTTCCACCCCAAGGTCTGGCCCACTCACGCCACTGGTCAGTGTGCCCATGTAGGTGAGAAACTCTGTTACTAGCCCTTGGCCAGCAAACTTGATTGAGCACTTCACATGAGGACACTGTGGAGTATGAAAGCAAAATCAGCACAAAAGAAAATTCACTATCTTTGTCACACTACATCATTCAATATTTAATTAGAAAGAGCTAAAAACTGATCTTTATCTGTGTCATAACAACAGTAAATAGCAATGACTAACCCTCGAGTGCTTATACAAGGCAATGGCTGCACTGAAATTCCTGGACTGAAGCTTCACATCTGCTGCAAGCTCAAAGAGCTTTGGGTCCAGAGAGAACATCACACCAAGCTTATTTGCACTATCAATATCACCTGCTCGAAGCACCAAGTCCATGAAGAGAGATTCTACGCTGGTTCTGTGTTAAAGAAAGAAAAAGAATGAAAGATAAATAAATAAATAAAAAATAATGTCTAACTTACTCCCCCTTTAATCCCTTGGCAACAGGTGTGTCCCAATTGCTGATGTGTGGAATTCATGGCGAACAGATTGCAACAGGAACAACGTAGGGAAAAACAATAAATGAGCATATAAAGAAAAAAAAAAATAATCTGTTGGAAATGGGTGCCTTGAAGTTTGCACATGGCTCAAAATCTGGGCATTAAGTTTACTTAAATTGCATCACTCTCTTGGGTGTGTGGCTTGTAGGCCCAGTCCACACAATCATTTATACATGGTATCAAGATTCCTTGCTCCCTTTTTGTTATTAGGTCTTTTTCACATACTCATGTACTGCTGTTTTGCAATTTTTCCAGGTGTATATCTACCATATGATATATCGTAAAAAATGGTAATAGACAGTTTTTACTGAGCAGACACTATCTCTCCATGTAGCCTAACACTATGCAATAACAATAAGTCATAGTGATATTTGCATTATTTCTTATACTTTCATGTTAAATTTTCGTAACACAACCGGCACCACTCATCATAGTGAGCTGGAATAGGTTTCTGTGCATGGAATTAGTGTCCTCCCTAGAGCCAGTCCTTTTCCTGGCATGGCTCACAGATGATACATTCCACCTTTGATTACCGGTGGAAATACTGCAGGAGCCTTCCTAAAGACCCAGTGAGTCTAACCTCCTTCCTGTCACCCGCCATTCAGCAACAATATTTCATCACATATATTCCCTTCACTCCAGCCCCCATCCAGAGTTAATTATTGTTACTATTACTGCACTGATTTAAGGATTGCCTAGAGCTGGGGGTGTCAAACACCTAAGCTAGAGATGATATGGACTCATATCAAAAGACAAATATAGACTGAAAAATGGCAAAAAAGGAATACATTTTGCAAAAAAATAGAGAAAATAACATTGCAAAGTCTTCTCACCGCACATGAGTGTTCGTGCATGCCTGGCCTACAAGTCATACACTTGTCAAAGCCATTGCACTAGTAAGCTTAATGCCCAGACTTTGGGCCATGAGTGGGCAGTGAAGCATCTGGATCCAGGGAATTAAGAGGTTAAAATGCTACAAGGTAAAGAATGCATTCATGGTTTTCATGTCTTATCTTCCTCATCTTCATCCTGCATAGCTAATAATCAAAAGTAAAGGTAAGAATCTTTTTCCAAACTCTACCAAGAATTTCCCATAGATGATTAAATTCACCTCTCACATAAATAGGAAAACAAGACGTAACACTAGTAAGCAAAGCAAGTAACTTTATTTTGAAGCTACTTCATAAAACAAAATTACTACCTTAGACCCAACAGACCTACCTTGGCTGACATATATACAAAGATTTGGTAGTTAATATAATGCATCCATGGGGCCATGTGTGACTTGGCAGTTCCACATAGTCTTCATCTTCTTCATCTCTGCCAATCCGCCCTACAACAGATGACCTGCCTGAGCGCGGTGGACTGCTGTTAGCATCCTGTGAGATCAAGGGGGGACTAGAGTGCATGGACACAATTTCTTCGTCCTCCGGCAAGTCTATTTCCTGGATCACTGGGTTCACCTTGCTGTCCTGTAAAATATATAGGTTTGGTTATAATTGCTTGATAGCTGATACTATACATAGATCATGTAATCACTGCAATAACTATGCAAGTTGAATGATAGGCTTTCATTTCACTCTTTTCTTTTAACAGACATGCAGGAGCTACCTAAAGTGTCTGCATAAAATTTCCTAAAATAAAATCTTTTTGTATGGAAAGTGCATATAATAAAAAAGGAACTAATTGAAAAAAAGGAACCTAATATAGTCATACTTAAATATTCTTAAATATACTATTAATACACTAATTAAATAAAAATACCCCCAAAGTTGAAATAAGAAATAAAGAATTATCATAATCTACATCATTTACACAGGGAATGCACAATGTTCAATAAAACTCATCTCACTACCCTCCCTTTCCCAGGAATATCTGATCAAACTAAAAACTTACTATAGTTCCATCTATCTTTGATGAGGATGAGAAGAATGTAGAGATGATGGTGAGTTTCCGCCGCGATGTTGCATCTGAGAGGAAGATCATCTCATCTTGGAGGATGATTTTCTCAGCATCAGGTATAATTTTGAAGACGAAGAGAGGAGTGGGTTCCAAATCAGTGCTGTAAATCTGTTGGCAGAAAAGACATGACTTGCTAAATATTGTAAAAGGAAATGAATGCACACAAACTTTCAACGTGCATGTGCATATGTATTTGTATCATTCAATCATAAGAACAAGAACAAAATGAGAAAACAGTCCGTAAAAAGAGTAGGTACTGATGACAAAAAAGTAATCCACTAACCATCAATGTAGTGTTTGGTTTGCAATGCCCTGCTAACAGGTATCTTTCTTTGGCATACTGTGGTGTCGCAATAACGTCATGGATGAATTTGCAGAGCCTCTCGGGTCTTGCAGAGATGCATGGAGCAGCCTCTCCGTCACCCCCTGAGGCTATGGAGGTTGTGGAGGTTGTCATAATTTGCTCTGGGGTAGTTGTGGCTGACAGTTCATCAATATCACAAGTGTCCACACCTGGAATAAATAAAACAATAGTTACAGTGCTTGTTTTCTCTGCAGCAAGGTCGAAGCTCTATAGGGTATTTGGATGAGCTTGCTGATTCTCATAAATATATATTCTTAGATTGAAAGTAGATGGTAAATGAAATTTCTTGGCTTTTTAGGACCATGTGCCATCATTTTTAGCTGTAAAACTTTTTGGTACGGTCAAGATGAGTTATCACTGCTAAAATATACCTACTTCACTACTGGTTCATCCTATAAACATTCAAAACCCTATCTCGGTTTTATGTTGATGGTGGGTACCTGAAAGCGAGGATACCCAACAAAGTTATCCATGGCCTCTTCATGTTTGCCTTGAGAAATTTATATAAGGAACTCCAGTATAGATCTGCAATTATAAAATTGTTGCACTAGGTGGTAATATAATAAAACTGCTCTAAAATTAAGCCCAGTCCTATTTATCCTAAAGAAAAAATGTGTGCATTCATACCCCACCCCTAATAGCCTTGAGACTGATAGCCAGGCACACCTGCACACAAAGAGTCCGGAGACTGATTATATCTCCATTCAGCTCAGTTCACCCTAATGCAGAACGGACAAGTACTGAATGTATCTCTAAAAGTCTACTTTGACATCAGCCTGTGGTAAATCTGGAAGCCATGGATTTGGTACAGGGCATAAAAAAAATGTAACAGAAAAATTTTAAAATGCATGAAAACACCATCAACAGGACATTACTAACTTGGGGGTCTTAGGAGTACATAACTGTAAGAACATCTAACATTTCCAACTAATATTTTCTGTTACTGAATGCAACTTCAACACTTTAGGGATTCTGGGTCAATTTTAGAGTAAATATTCCAGTCTATGTTTGTTTGTTTTTTGGCCTTAAATTTATAGTTAATCTATTATTTCCCATTTCTGGAAGGCTCGTTCAACTTACGGCCTTATGTTGCCTCTCAAAGAAAAATATCAAGCTTTCATCTTGATTTTCATTCAAGAACTCAAAAGTAAGCATGGCCTGAGGTCCTGCACAATCTTTTTTCCTTTTCTTATTATCATGAAGTAAAATGAGATGCAAATAACATTACAATATTACAGACAAGGCATTAAATGTGAAACCTAAAGCAAAAGCTATATAATCTGTCCTTTATATCATGTGCAACAACTAATGTTGGATGGCATGTACAAAAGAACAAGCAAAAAGTGTAAAGGAGGAAAAAATCAAAAGTACTTAAGTAAGTAAAATAAAAAAAGGACAACACAAGACTAATGAAGGGTTATGCAGGTGGCAGGTTCCATCTCCCTCTCTCCTGTGATACAGCGGTGAAATCAAGGTCACGAGACATGGCGGACAATTCTGTCATGCTCAAAAGAGGTTGTCTTAATTTCATCTGCATTGGAAATGTGTAATATGGTAACCATCTCCAGGTGGGTGCTAATATTTTTTCTTTTCAAATCCACTTAAAAAAACAGAGAAGTGTGAAAAAAGGAAAACCGACCTTGGGTCAGCCATTAGTCATAGAAGTGAAATGGCAAAAAGCTGAACAGTCCTTAGGAGTGTGTATACCCATGTAAATCTTGGGTACTGCATATTTACTGTAAATGATACTGATAGATATAAAAATCATCAAGATTTATGTAATGGCTGGCCAGGATGATAGATAAGAGAGGACAGCTGTGGTGCCCCAAACGTACCCATAAAGATGTGGACCCATTTCCGTGCAGAGTGTGTTGCCAGATGGAAGAACCAGGTGTTACCACAACACACAAACACAAATTAATGTTTGTTTTCAGCCAATATCATAAGAAATATATCATGGCTAACATATGACAAGATATCTATCTTTTTCTTATAAACATAGTCCTGTAATCATCTACAGTTTGTTTTCATAAAAATCAATGATTTATTTATTTATTTATTTTTATTTTTTTATTTTTTTTTTTGTATATAAGTGCTTCGCTATATCAATTACATATTATCTTCTCCATTCAGTCATCTTGCTAAGATTACCTATAGAGATTGTAATCAAAGCCTCTTTCATGTTAACTGAATTTTGGTGACAGCTACTGATAATCAAATTGAATATCATCAATTCCATATCCATACAAAGAAGGGCAGTACATCAACTTAGCTCAATACATATGAGTAAATAAAATTAGATACACAAAAAGGAAAGATGACAGAGAGAAAAATAGTAAGTGAATAATGTAATGATCCATTACCTTTATTTTCAGTTAATGGTTTCCTCCTAGTGCCCGTCTTGGCCTCTGCAAGTCTTTGCTTAAGCATTTGCAGCTTCTCCACTGACAGCTGCTTAAGGCCAAGCAGCCGGGATCGGTGGGGGGGTCCCGAGCGATGCAGCGATGCCCCAGGACTCTCATCATCTGGCCATTCAGGGGTTATGTGTTCGAGGGGAAAGAGATACTGGCTACTGCGCTGCTCCAGCACCAAGCGCCACTGCCTGTCCTCTGGCCCTGTGATCTACAAGGGATGCTTTGGTTACATATGTGCAGCTAAGGACACAAGAAAAAAAGAAAACTACATGTAAGGATACCACGTCATATTTTTCAATAAAAGAAAAAATAATAATAATAAAAATAAATAAATAAAAATAAAAAATAAATAAAATGAGAAAAATAAATTAAAAAGTGTATAATTTGACAACCATGCAGTGATATTTTACGCTTACATTTCTAATATCAAAAAATTTATGGTATATGTCACTTTTACAATCTTTGTCCAGAAATATACATTTTATGTAGGAAACTGCCCTTTAACCCACTAACATGTGAGACACCCAAAAAAATAAACATTGCTGGGTGTCCCGCCAGTGTGACACTGTATCGGGGCTCATGCTCCAACGCAGCAGCGGGCTACAGCCGGCGGGCGGGCAGAGTTCAGGGCAGCCCTGCATGCCGACTTTGTAGCCGCTCGGAACCTTTTATTTTTGGCTTCAAAATATATCAGCGTTAATCGGCGTAATTTTATCTATGGAATCTTTACCTTTATTCCCAACAAAAAAACAACAATATTCAGTTTAGCATTTTTCTTTGTAATCTAACCCCTGCGATCTGGGCGATGTGATGATACCGTCATGGAAAAATCTGGGTTAAAGGCCAGGTAACGTGAACTTGCTGTCATCGGGAAAAATGGCCGTGAGCCAGGTGGCGTGATCTTGCTGGCATGAGTGAAGGCCAGGGTGATGGAAAAGATTTGTCATAAGTGCACTACCCTCTTGGAGTGTGATTAGACTCATTTGGCACTTAGAATGGGGCTTTTGCGATATTCACATCGACAACCAAATGTGGAATATTATGTATGTAAGCTGTGACTTAAAGAGTACTGGCTCCAGGGAGGATGTCATTTCCATGCTCTGCATTGTATTCCTGGCCAATGTGATCTATGGCACGGAAAATTGAAAATTACGAAAAAAAAAGACTACTACATAGAGATTATATAGAGTCTACACAAGGAAAATAATATTTTACCATTTTTGTAAAGTGAATCAAAAGACAAATATGGACATTGGAAAATGGCAAAAAAGCTAAAAAAGTTTATGCAAAATAATGGAGGCATTGAGTCTTGCCACAACTCATTAGTGTCTGCACGCGCCCAGCCCAAGTGCCTTACACCTGGGATATTGGCCACTTACGTAAACCACTGCTCCTATTTTTGGTCCTGTGATTTCCCAGACACAATTGGATCCAACAAGTTAGGAAGTGTACAGGGGAATGGCTTCAGAATTCTAGGACATAGTCCAAGGATTAAGCTGAGAATCTAAGAAAAGGATGATGTGAAGAGAAGAAAATAAAAATTGTCCTATTATAATAAAAATTTATAACGTGAGATGAACCTCCTTTGTTGACTCAAATCCCATTGGTAAATCCGGAGTTACAGAGATGGGAAGGGCAGTGTGACTGGCTATGTCCCACAAAGCATCACCTATTTGGGACAAATACTCCAGCACATCCAGGTAGTATGCAACCTCAATAAAGGATGTTGTCCATATGATGCATCTGCTGTGAAGGAATCATGAAAATGAGTTTCTCATCACCTAGATGAGCAACAAGATAAGGTGCACATGTTGACTGACGATACTACTGACCCCCTCTTGCTATTTTATAGCAAGACCATTTGGGACAACGTGGATAATCAGACTGTGAATAAGGGAACATGGGCCACATATTTTAATTTTACTTCAACAGATGATGTTCCTACTCACCACTTCTGCTCTAAACAAGAGATGTTGTGGTGCTTTTTTTACCAGAAGTAAATGATGAGGTGACTTAATTTCTGTCTTTTCCTGGGAGTTGTGGTTAGATGTGTAGTGAGTGTGGCCTACTCGAGGTACAGGAAGCTGATGCTGCAAGCATTCATCCCCTAGTGCAATGATGGAGGGAGCCAACACATGAGCTTGCCTACACTTCAATGCAGGCAGGTTTTGGCTCAGCCAGTGGTAAAAGTATTGTTCTTGTTGCCTCTTCATATGGTCAATTTCTCATTTCTCTGGCGGAATGGAAAGGGACCATCATATGCTGGCTACAGTGGAGGATGGGTCATTCCAACATGCATGAAGCCATGTGCAATTTCTCAGGTAAGTAAAGTTTTGGTAAGGCCTGGATCTTGCTGGATGGGTGGGCTTGGGCCTAAGTAGTTGTATCTGCTGCTGCAGGCCTGAGATGAAGTTGAATGGAAAGGAGTGGTCCTAAGTTGAATCTGTGAAGAAGTCACCTGGTTGGGCCAGACTACTGCTATGCAATTTAGGTCCTGAGGCAAAGGCTTATTACATGGGCTTGTACTGCTACCAAAGAATCACCCTTGGTCTGTTCAACAGCAAACAGTTTGAAATCTATGGAGGAATCCTTTGCTATGATGGTACTGATGGTGGCTCTGGAGAGGGCACCTGCGTGCCATAAGAGCTGAAAAGTTGTGTGACTGTGCTGCTGCTCTGTGGAGACAAGGGTCTGAACTTTGATAGAATCTTCTATGAAAAAATACTTCTTTTACTTTGTTGCAAGAGTTGCCTGAAAGGCTAAGGATGACAACTTGTAAAAGACACACAATCTCCAGCCAGAGGCTGCAGATGAGGTATTTGATGGACTGACTGATGATAACTAAAGGTCTACTTCTACTTGCACCAACCAAAGGTGTGGGGTGTTTGGGTTGTAGAGGAAGACTGAAACAGCCATCCATGACTGCAGAACTCACTCTCTTTAAGGTTCACCAATGGTGTTAGAAACAAACCAGTATTGGTTTGGTCAGATTCTGTTTACCAAAAGCAAAGAGAAGTGTGAGGAGTTTGCAGTCATTAATATTGGTCTGCTGAAGGTGCCCAGAAGTAAATAATGAAGTTTCCTGATTCCAATCTTTTTCTACGAGAGGCAGATGGATACATAATGCTGTGGACAGTTGTGTAGTGAGCATAGCCTGTGCAACGTGCGGAAAGCTACTGTTACACTATGAAGATCGGAGCAATTTCTCCAGAGATACCTAAAAGGAGCTAAGCAATCCTAGTATCACTGCATGGGAACTTATGGAGAATCTTTAAGGCAAAGCATGCAAGACAACTCAAAGATGTTTTTGTTGTCTGATTCACCGTCTTGCAAGATAACTATGGGCAATATGTAATAAAGTCAAATTGCTAGATTTTATATTTTTGCAAAATTACAATTTTGAGTACTGAAGTGCACATTTATTGCAAGTTCAATCTAACAAATAGCTGTGCCATCTCTGTAAAAAGATAGATATCATATAACATTTCCATCAAAATCTAATAATAAATTCACTAAGTAATATAATATGTAATTTGCCATTCCTACTATGGGTGGTCATAGATGTGAAATAATAAATCAAATCTACAACATCAATAGACCCCTAAGACTGACCAGCAAATAGACAGTATCCAAGGAGTTGTCCCGACACAAGTCTAGCTCTGTGACTGGCACAGTGATGTAGGTGCCACCAACTTCCTTCCCTGTGCTCAACTCGATGAAGGAGAGTTCTCCCAACTCTGTGCCAATGATGGCCAAGGAGGCATCGCCAACCATTGTCTGCCACCTAGAAGGAATGTGCACTGTTATTACATGCTATAAATTTTACCATTCTTCTTTTCTAAAACCAATAATCACTCAGAGCAGGAACTCCACATAAATGAGTACCATTAAGCTTCTAATTCAACACCAACCCTACTCACCAGACAAGCGATGAAGGCCGGGCCCTGCTCCCATTGGGGGGAAGAACAAGGACATCGTCTGTTTTAAAGCGGTGATCCTGCACAGCCCCAGGGTCCAGGCGGCTGCCCAGGGGAACCACAAAGAGCGTACCATCCTCGCCTGAAAAAAATAGGATGTTATATTATTAGGGTAAGTTGTCAATGGTGTTTGATTCTGCGCTGTATGAATTAAACATATAATATCTTTTTTATTGCTGTATGAGAGAGAGAGAGAGAGAGAGAGAGAGAGAGAGAGAGAGAGAGAGAGAGGGATAGAGAGAGAGA